ACAATTAGTCCTCTCACTTTTAAGAATCTTTATTTTGGGTGCGAAGAACAAAACATATACGAATTTAAGCTCCATTTTCATTTTAATCACTCGTTATTAAATTTTGCTAATCACACATGTCATTATAGAAAATGGTATGTGTCAGATTGATTAGGAAAATAAATTAAAAAATAAGCGTAGGGCCTAGATAGAATGTTGGGTTATAATCAGAGACGAGATACGTAGTAACTTTGACTGTTTATTCTCTCAAATTTTTTTACCATTGAAGGATATAGGGACAATAGCATCTTTTAGAAATTTTAAATTCTCGTAGAGGGCTACAGTACATGTTGCACGAGTCTTCAACTCCGATTAGAGAAGACGGGACTATCACCCAAGATAACATTAAAGTCATCCCCGTCTCCCCGGTCCCCGCTTGGCTGCGCCGGCACCGGAAAACTTGAGTGGTGCCTTAGCATTTTTCCTTGGATGCTTCATGCTTGTGCCTAGGTGAAAATTACATATAGTCCATGTGTAGCCGTCCACTAGCAACTTATCCAATAAAAATGGTTTAAGCCCATTGTTATAGGCCCCTTGTATAGAAAGTAAAAATGGGTTACCAAATGAAAGTCCATTCGCCGTTGTCCTCAAATAAATGTTCAACAAGCTTAGGGATAGGTACGAGACTCGGATTTGAAGAGTTCTGATTTAATTTAATTTTATAAAATTATTTTATTTAAAATTTTCAGGTTTGAGTTGGATTTATGATGAATTTTTTTTATCTAAAATAATAATATAATTATCTTTTATATATAAAGACTGGTCGGATCAAATACGAGTGTGAATTTTATTTCAAAAATCCAGTTGAATTTTGAATCGAACTAGATGATTGGTAAGTACTATAATATTCAGATTGAATTCAAGTAGGCCTAAAACTCGACTCTATTCATATTTATCTTTGATTCAACCTCATTTCTTAAATGAAATATTTTTTTATTAGTGTGAGATGATTACAATATAGTATTTATTTATAATATTTTTTAACTATTAATATCACACATACTCTACAGTTATAACCGCTAAAACTTATAACTTGTAGGAAAAACACTCATCTTAATCATCAAGGCTAGTTAATTAATAATTACTTTTTGAGCCTTGACTATAGGAGACTATTTTATTAAATCATTTTACTATTAAATGTTACACAATGGTCCCTCCTCTACATGAAGTTGTTTTGTTGAGTCCATCGACTATTAAAAGTTACAAAATAGTCACTCGACTATTCATTATATTTCAAACTCATATTTTTCTGTCAAAAAATTAACGGCCATCAAATTTGGACATTAACATGTTAACTGAGATATGATAGTCGTTTGAGATTATGAGTCAAAATTTATTATATTTTAGTCAGCAACTTAACGTACAACTTAGTCTACCGTTTAATGGAAAATGACGAGTTTTTGCAACCTTTAATAGTAAAGAGACTCAATAAAGAAACTCTCTATAATTAAAAAAAATCATTTTACCAACAACCAGTTGCTCTAGTGGGATGAGACACTAGATCTCTTAAGCAATGTCAAGGGGTTCGAATCATGGCGTTTTTTAATGGAGCAAACTGAGTTAGGAGGGTCGTCCTCACCTTTGCAGTATCCGATATGAATTAGTCGGTCAATAAATCGGATACCAACGATTAATTCAAAAAAAATATTTTATAACTTTTAATAGTCGGATAACTTAATAAAATAATATGTTATAATCAAAAAAACGATTTACGTACTTTATCCTAAAATACAATGCCAACCTAGTGTAAAATTTTTAAAGAGTCCTTGGGTAACAAGTAACGATACCCGTTTTCACGTATTTGGAATGGGGTGGTCGGCCATTTAGAAAGAACCAAAGAGTTAACCATTGTCAACCGTCGGATCTCTTTCCATATCTGTTGTTTATCGTTGATCTGGAATTATCGGGACCCACGTGTTTCCTAATCAGAAAGCCATTGTCATTTACTATAATCATGCTTAATTATCAAAGTCCTTAATCGGAAAGTATTTAAAACAATTATATTTAAAAGGATGAACTTATCAAATAATGTAGTGAAAAAAGTATTTGTTCGAATAATACAGTCGACAGATTATTTCGTGAAATAATAGATTGTCATGCGTCTTCGAGGAGACTTCACGACATCGGCGGCCTGGCTGGTCGGGAAGGGTAAGACGTTTGGATTCTAATGCATCTTCAAGGGATTTGGGTAAGTCGTTTGGACTCCAGTGCATCTTCAGGGTTTACTGTAGCATTCATCATATTTCACGAAATAATCTATCGACTACATTATTCGAGTAAATAATTTTTTCTACTTATTTGAGAAATTCACCCATATTTAAAAAGTAAAAAATAGAAAAATCGTATATCTTTTTTTATACTTTTTAGGTCATAAATAAAGAATGAGAAAGTTGGCGTGGAAAATAAGTTAAAATCAATGAAATATGAAGTAAATTCTGATTCGATTGTTATAGTTATATTTATGATAATTTAAAGACTAGGATAAATTATGTATTTAGTATTTAAATTATTAGTTTAGCCTGTTCTAATACATAATTTTTTATTTTTTTTAAATTATATCTAACTTTTAATTTTTATTTAATTTTAATACTCATCTTTAAAAACATAACATTTTTAGTACAAGTTTTGGTCCATTTTGGTATCTAAGTTTTCAAAAAAAAAATATTCAAAATTTAACGTTAAATTTTGAAGGAGATACTAAAATAAAATAAAACAAAACTTTAAGTATAGTTTTAAAAATTAAAAATTCAAATATTAAAACAAATCAAAATTGATAATTTAAATACTAAATAAATAATTTACTCTAAAAATATTGTCGGAAATTCAAAGAAAAAGATAATAAATTATTGTTTAGACAATGTTTAAACCCATAATATTTTTCATATATGATATTTTGGAAATATCTTGAAATTAATTGTAATAAATGTATTTGTGTATTGAGAGATATAAAAAATATTATAATATTCGTGCATGTTAAATTATTATAATTGTAATCATATTATTTAATATATGTTTAAGGAAGTAATGGTATGAGATAAGAATTTCACATATTTTAACATGATTTGATCTTATATTTTGGCACCAGTTTTGATATTGGTTGGTTACAGCCGATTGTCTTTTTTTTTTTTTTTTTAGCTTTTTATGAATAATTATTTATTTATGACATATTTATCTCTGTATTTGTCGCACATTTATCTCTATCTTTTGACAATTTTCATTTTTGGTCGTTGTTTTCGTTTACCATTTTTTCAGGGTTGGATTTGATATTGTCATGACTGGTCAAGATGACGCTTATTTGTTATCATGCTGATCTTTCCTGTTTTGGACCATCGGATTGATTTGGATACTGTTTTGCGTTCGTGGATAGTTTTCTCACGTTGCTTGACTTTATTTTGCGATTTGTCGGTGGTCTTTTAATAGTTTTGTTCCATTTTGTAGTTCGTTTGTCGATGCAGTCAGATTTATTCGTATCTTTATTTTGTTCGAGTATTTTGGTTAGATTTTTTTTAACCTTTTATTTCTTTGGTCCTTATGTGATCTATGTGACTAGTTTTTGTATCAATGATTATAAGAGAATATCCTAATTATAATTTAGTTTACTGTTATAATTATACTTGTAAATATTCATTATAATTATGTACATTTTCTACTTTTAATAAAACTAGCGGGGTATTTTTTATAAAATATATATATATTTTTATTCCTATTTCGTGTTGGATCATATATTTTTCACTTTAAATTTAAATTCGATCAACTTGTTTTTAATTTTTAGAAAAAATAAAAACAACCTTATATCATATTAAGTCAAAATTCATCAAATTTAAATATCCATCTCTAATTAAATACATACAAAATCCTCAAATTATATATCAAATTCTAAATTAATAAAAGAAGCGATTTAGTCATTATTTTAACACCAAATGATACTCTAAATTCGGTGTGAGATATATTTAATATATGTGGTTTTAATAATAAAAAGATATTATTTTTTTTAAATATTATGAGTTCAAACATTTATATCTATAGGGTGTGTGTACGCTGTTAATAAATTAAAATTTTAATATATATTATTTTATAATAATCTCAAATTATTTAAAAAAATAATATATATATATATATATATATTATAATTAATATACTCTAATTTAAATTTAATATGTTAAAAATATATATTCGTAAAATATTTGTTTGAATGAGTCAAACGATTTTAATAATAAATGAATTGTTATTTTTTTTTGAAATCTTTCAAAGATATAAACGTTATATATCATATGATTAAAAATTATCTTTAAATGAATATTAACTTTTAACTCCATATTAATAAAAGAAAATCGAAATACAGTTAAAACTCTATAAATTAATAATGTCAAGACCGGAAAAATTTATTAATTTAGAGAGTTATTAATTTATCGATAAATTAATAATTATTAATTTAAAGAGTTTTTAGGTAATTATACTGTACATGCCAAACAAAAAGGTAAATTAGTCTATGCCTCTTAGAATTACGTTGCAAGAGATGAGTTAAATTAATAATGAGCTCCAAATAGACTTAAACTTTAAAGTAAAACAGAAAAATATTAAATCATATTTCAATAGAGTGTAATATATTTTTTTCAGTTTCTATGAATTATTAATTTATAATTTTCTTGGGACTGAAAATTATAAAGGGATCTCACGAAAAATTATTATCTTATTATTTTATCAAGTTTTTCAATTTTTTACATTGGTCCAAGTCAGGACCGGACAAATTTATTAATTCACTGAGTATTAATTCAAAGAGTTTCTACTGTATTTGTTTTTAACATATTAAATATAGATTACAATCAAATCCTAAACGGTGTCGTTCCTTCCCTCGTAACGAAACACGAAAAATTTCCCTTGGCCGCTGTCTTGAATAAAACCAGAAAATAGGGGAAAAGAAAGAAAAAGTATAGTTTTCGCTTTTAAATTTCAATAAAAAGCACAAATTCTCGGATTGTTTCACCCGTAGACGCCGGTCCCTTCTTCTATTGATTTTTTTTTTGCTTGCTTAAAGAGCAATGAAGTGATCCTTTTAACTACCAGCTCTTCAAGATCCGATCAGATCTGGTCGTGTTAGTTCCCCTCTCTAAAATTCACAGCTTTGTCTATTTGTTTGTATGTATCAATCGATTCTTCTATGGGTTTTCTGAAAGATTGGAGCATCGAGATCTCTTTTTTTGGGGAAAAAATTATTGGGGTTTTTTCTGGGAATGAAATGTCGGGGATTGTGAGTTAGGGGTTTTCTTTGTTTAGTGGAGGGGTTGGGGTTTTGACCTCCGGATGTATGAAGATTTGGTGCTGCCTTTGGTTTATCGACGACGAAGGAGACAATAATCGACGGGGAGGAACCATGAAGGAAGGTTTTTTGGCAAATGTCGACGACATTGAGGGAATTATTGCAAATGACGGCGACGAAGAAGCCTCCGCCGGTCTATCTGTCTCCCTAACCGGAACCCTTAACAGTCAACAACAGGGAGACGAGGCGGGGCTGTCGTTTCAAGAAAATTTCATCGCCATGAGATACGGTGGGAACTGGGTCGATCCTATGTGGCGCCAGTCGGTTGGCTGCTCGCGTACTTTCCTTGGTGAGACTAGCGCCTCTTCTTCAGCTGTCGTAAATGGTTATGAACACCACGATTCGCCCCATAAGCGAGCTAAAGTCAACACCTTTTATCAGTGAGTTAACTGGACTACTCTAGAGAAAACTTTTTGAAGAAATTATTTCTGTTTTCATACTTATTTTGAGAAGTTTTTTTTGCAGTGAGAGCACCTCTTACTCATCAGCAGAGAGAGATTATAGTATTAATCAATGCTCATCAATTTCGTCTAATAATGGGGTATTTTATCACAATTTCATGTCGAATAATGAGAGTGATAGGCATTCTTTTGATGGAAAAGGTGGGAATGAGGAGGAAAATGAAGGTGGTTTGAGAGCTGAAGATTTTGAGATTCGAATGGATCTAACTGATGATTTATTGCATATGGTAGGCAGATTGATTAATTACACTATTGCAGTTTTTATTATTTTTTGTATTGCTTTATCTTATTGAGCATTTTGTTTGTTTTCCCTTTTTTTAGGTGTTCTCCTTCTTGGATCACCGTAATCTTTGTAATGCTGCCATGATTTGTAGGCAGTGGCGATCAGCTAGTGCTCATGAGGATTTTTGGAGGTGTTTGAACTTTGAAAACCGGAATATACGTCTTGAACAATGTGAGTCTCAGATTTGCTAAATATCTTTACTTAGTTCTCATTTGGTTTAAACAGTGTGCTCCAAACAAAGTTTAGGAGTTGCTTGGAATTGACACTATTTTTTAGATAAGAGAACTATATGGGTATTCGATTAGAATATTATTTTGCATGAGAAAATGGTACATTGATGTAATGAAATTTGATGCCAAACTGCAATAACATTGCATTTTGATCTTGCAGTTGATGACATTTGTCAAAGATATCCAAATGCCACTGAAGTGAACCTGAGTGGCACTCCTAGCATGCAACTTCTTGTTATGAAAGCTGTCTATTCATTACGGTTATATTTTGTTGAGATATTTTATATTCTAAAAAATGCATTTTGCGCAGCCTCTTGTTAATTTGTATAAAAACTTCTGATTATTTAGAAATCTTGAGGCTTTAACGTTGGGAAAAGGGCTACTAGGGGATGCTTTTTTCCATGCATTGACCGAGTGTAGTACGTTGAGGATTTTGGATGTGAATGATGCTATTCTCGGTGACGGTGTTCAAGAGATACCTATTAACCATGATAGGTTATGTGATCTGAAATTAACTAAATGCCGTGTGATGCGTATATCCATCAGGTGAAGCAAAATCTAGATATGATTGTAAACCATGTTTTGATGTCAATCTTGTCTTCCTCTATGCTAACATCTGATCTTTTGCAGGTGCCCACTATTAAAGAGTTTGTCTTTGAAACGTAGTACTATGGCACAGGCAGCCCTTAATTGTCCCCTTTTGCAGCTGCTTGATATAAGTGCATGCCACAAACTTACAGATCCAGCAATTCGTTCTGCAGTGACTTCTTGCCCTCAATTAGAGTCTTTAGACATGTCAAATTGTTCGTGTGTTAGTGATGAAACATTGCAAGAAATAGGTCGCTCTTGTTCTGTTCTCCATGTTCTGAATTCGTCATATTGTCCAAACATATCTCTTGAGGTCAGTTTTTGCCAATGGTTAATTTAGTTCTAATTAGTGATTTAGTAATGCTTTCTGGTTAAGCCATATTTTGATGCATTTTCTTTCTGTGAAGTCTGTAAGACTACCAATGTTAACAGTTCTTAAGCTTGACAACTGTGAGGGTATCACTTCGGCTTCAATGGGTGCAATAGCATACAGTTATATGTTGGAGGTTTGAATCATTTTTTCTCTTATAAATTGCTGCTACCTAGATGCTTTTTCTATCCCTATTAAAATTTTCTAGCTGTCTGTACTGATTCTTTTATCTGTTGCAGGAGTTGGAGCTTGATAATTGCCACATGTTGACATCAGTGTCACTGGATCTTCCTCGTTTGCAGAAAATTCGACTTGTTCATTGTCGAAAGTATACTTTTGTTCCATCAACTCCCCTTTCATTTTATTACCAATATCCAAAAGATTACCCCATTGTTTTTGGCTGGACGTTTGTTTATCTTTTTCATGCCCCCTGTCTTAATTTTATAATAATTGATCATTTCTACCATGCAGATTTGCTGACCTGAATGTACAATGTTCCATGCTATCAACAGTAACGGTGTCCAATTGTGTCGCACTCCATCGCATTAACATCAGTTCAAATGCACTTCAAGTATTTTTTTTAATGCATCATTTTATCATATTTGTTGTCCTGGTTTTTTATAGGGTTGTAAACGAGCTGAGTCAAACTCGAGTATTGTTGAGTTTGACTCGACTCAAAAAGTTCAAGGTTGATCTCGACTCGACTCAAAAGCTTGTGAGCTTAAAATTGTCAAACTCGATTTGAACTCGAAATCAAAAATTGAAGCTCGACTTGAGCTCGAAAAAACTTGAACTCGAAGCATTCTTATAATTAGCTTGATTGAAGCTCGAACTCGAACCTCAAGTACATGAAAATCTTACATTATATTTTTTTATAAAAAAACATATAAATGTTAATATTATTAATAATTTAATTTAAAAAATTAAAAATTTAACATATTATTATTTGCTTTTTTCGTGTGTTTTTTGAGTAAGGTATCAAGTAGCTTATTTCAACTTGTTAAAAACTGAAGTCAAGTTTGAGCTCTTGTATTGACCGAGCTTTGACTGAGTCGAACTAAATAGCTTGCGATCTGTCTCATCTCATTTACAACTCTAGTTGTTGATAAGAGTTTGACTTATTGAGATGGTTTCATGAAAATCCAGAAATTAGCGTTGCAGAAGCAGGAAAATTTGACAATGTTGGCACTGCAGTGTCAAGATTTGCAAGAAGTAGATCTCACAGATTGTGCATGTTTGACAAATTCTATTTGCAACATCTTTAGTGATGGTGGTGGATGTCCTATGCTAAAATCATTGGTTCTGGACAATTGTGAGGTTTGTGAATAGGTTATAGTTGTTTTTTTTCTCTGATTTCATGCATGTCTACGGATAAGGGCCTTACTATACTAGGGGAACTTGGAAAGATTGGGTGATAAATGAGACATAAGATAATAGATATACGTTTCAAAGACTGGGTAATAATAGGCTTGAGACGATATAGATCTATAAGATTGGTTTGATCTCAACTCTTTGGTCACTTTCAATGGCGCTGTAGATTTATTTGAGTTCTGGTCTGTATCTAACATGTTTACCAATATTCTTTAATTATTTCTGGTCTGCATTGTTACGAGTCATTATTTTGGCTTCTGAGAAAAATCTTTGTTTGTTTTTCATCTTTACCAGATCTTGACAGCATTGCAGTTCTCCAGTACATCTTTAGTCAATCTATCACTGGTTGGTTGTCGTGCGATTACTACTCTGGATCTTGCATGTCCATGTCTAGAGAAAATTTGTTTAGATGGCTGTGACCATCTGGAAAGAGCTTCATTTTGTCCTGTAAGTTTACTTTTATCTGAAATTACTTTTGTGTTATCAGCTATTTGATGCGTGCAATCTCTTACCGTATATAAAATATAATGCCCGAGAATTTCTCTGTTTTTAGGTGGCTCTTCTGTCACTTAATCTCGGAATATGCCCCAAACTGAACACCCTCGGAATCGATGCTCCTCATATGGTGTCACTTGAGCTGAAAGGATGTGGTGTCTTATCTGAAGCATCCATAAACTGTCCTCTATTGACATCTCTGGATGCTTCTTTTTGCAGGTTTGTTTTGCTACCTTTTTTGTGATCTTTACTCTGTTCCATGGCTGATGCTTTTATTTGATTTTACATGCAGCCAACTTAAGGATGATTGCTTATCTGCAACCGCAGCTTCCTGCCCTCTGATTGAGTCATTAATATTGATGTCATGCCCATCTATTGGTTTTGAGGGTCTTTACTCTTTGCGCTGGCTTCTAAATTTAACGACACTTGATTTGTCATATACCTTTTTGACAAATTTGCAGCCTGTTTTTGAGTCTTGTTTGCAGCTGAAGGTAACTTCTAAATCCTTGATATATAATTATGAATTGATGGGCCATAGTGGCATAATTGAGTTGTTTCTTGTTCAGTTGATCATACTACCAGTACCTGATGAATGCATGAATGTTGCGTCAGTTTGTACTGTTAATTATTCTGGGTTTTCATCTAAAATGCTAATACCATTTGTCACTTTTGTGGATAATTTTCACTCATGACATCCATTTCGTTGTTTCTTTCATGCAATTAAAGCAATTCTAAGAAAATTCTTTCATTATTTTGGATGCTCCATGTTTTCCATATTTCATGCCATATTATATTTCTTACTTTTCCTTTTCTTTCTTTTAGGTGCTAAAATTACAAGCTTGCAAATATCTATCTGACTCATCATTGGAGCCTCTTTACAAGGAAGGTGCTTTACGAGAACTTCAGTATTTGGATTTGTCATATGGTACCCTGTGCCAAACTGCCATAGAGGAGCTTCTTGCTTCTTGCACACACCTTACCCATTTGAGCTTGAATGGATGTACACATATGCATGACCTGAATTGGGGTTCTACTGCTAGCCAATTTGAGTTCCGTGGTGTACATGATGGATCTAGCACGTTCTCTTTTGAGAACATCAATGAACCAGTCAAGCAAGGGAACCGCTTACTGCAGAACCTGAACTGTGTAGGCTGTCCCAATATTAGGAAAGTGCTCATCCCTCCAGAAGCTCGTTGTTTCCATATGTCATCCCTAAATCTTTCTTTGTCAGCCAATTTAAAGGAAGTTGATCTTGTTTGTTTCAGTTTGACCTTTCTTAATCTAAGGTACGTAAATATTCCGCTTTAATTATGGTTTCTATTTGTTTATTTAGTCCTGAGATTTTCTGCTCGTATCTGAATGCAGCAATTGTTGCTCTTTGGAAGTTTTGAAGCTCAGTTGTCCTAGACTGACTAGTCTCTTTCTTCAGGTAAGAAACCTCATTTCCCAGTATTCGGAACCACATGTTTTTAATGTTTTTTCTTGCAAAATTACAACTGGCAAACAAATGGCTCCTATCTTCCAAATTACCTGGCACATCAGGCAGTGCCCTTCAATATGCAATCCCATCTGAATGAGCCTCACTTGTTGGCAGCCTGTCTAGTATGGTCAACCAACAAATAAAAGCATGTTTGGGAATATGAAAAGGGAACCAAATAACTCTTTGCCGAACAACTTTTGCACTCTTTGTTCTGATTCCCTCCCATATATTAGCAGCAGTAACTTTCTTCACCAGAAATGTTTTATATCAGCTTTTTACTCCTATGTTCTGGTGATTTTTATTTGAGGAGTGTATTCCTAAAGATGCTTGGTTTTTACTAGGCATAAGTAGTTCTTTTGGTTTTGCCTGGTGTAATATGGTGTGAAAGTTGCCTTTTTTAGTTTGATGTAAAAGTTACCAATTTTGCTGACTCTGAATGCGTTGCCTTTTCCATGGAGTACGTGTCCTAGCTCCAAATCCTCTTTTCAGATTCCTGTTTCCTTCATGCCAAGCCATTTTGATTTCATTTATCAGTTGTAACACACAATCATACGTGTAATGCTTTTATATCCATCCTTGTAGTTAATGTACATACATACATGAGTTTCTTACATGTTATTTTCCGTTTCCTTTTGCATATTGGCCATTTCAAGTCTTGCAACATTGAGGAAGAAGCTGTTGAATTTGCTATATCACAATGTGGCATGCTGGAGACTTTGGATGTTCGTTTTTGTCCGAAGGTGAGGGCAGTATTCTTGCTTTCCTTCTTTGTTCGCATCACTGAAAGTCCTTACCTTCTATCTGTCCACCGGTTGCTTTAAGTTACCTCTGCAGTTTCATTTAAACATTTAAAGCTCGGTATATCGTCCCTTATACAGTTCGTTAACATTTCTAATGCTGTGGGTGATAGATTTACTCGACGAGTATGGGAACATTTCGCGCTGTTTGCCCCAGCTTGAGGCGTATTTATAATAGCTTGTCACCTGCATGATGTGAATCCGGTCCTAGAATTTCGATCTCGCAGCAGCAACAGCTTGATATTTTCCGATGATTGCCTCTGTATGTAAACAAATAAATCGCTCACCATTGCTCCCTGTCTCCTTTGGATATATTTACGTGTGTATGTGTATGTATATGGACTTATTGATTGTTTTTGTATTGACAGAAGGAACTGCAACGGGGAAGGTGGGAGCTGCCCCCATTTAAACCCTAAAATTACATTTGGGCAGTGTACTGTAATAGTGGTCTATATGCCCCTATATTTGATTTTGTGTTAATTTAAACACAAATTTGTAGGCTGTAATACATTTATGTAGTCCTTTGTTCTTTTTGGGTAAACTATACATTTAATACTTAAAGTATCAGTTTTTTCTTTAAAATAAATTGTGTCCCATTAAAACCCCCGTTAAACTATTAGTTTTGGTTCGTTTCAGTACTTAAATTTTTAATTTTTTTTAAAATCATATTTGATGTTTAGTTTTTGTTTCGTTTTAGTATTTACTGTTAAAATCTTAATGTGTTTAGTATTTTAACTATTAGTTTTGGTTCACTTTGTACTTAAATTTTTAATTTTTCTCAAAATATAATGTTAAATTTTGAATGGGTTATTAAAATGAAACAAAAATTAAACTTTAAGTGTGGTTTTAAAAAAACTGAAAAATTAGGTACAAAAAGTGATAAAAATTAATAGTGTATGTATTAAATGCATTATTTACCCTTTCTTCTTTTTAGAATTGGTAATTATAATATAGTTGAACAAAATAGATTTTGAAAAATTCACACTTATTTGTATTCGAATCTATACACAAATACTCTACATTTGCCTTACTATAAAATACTGATCCGACCAAAATAATACATAATTATTTATATATATCTCAAAGATTATTAAATTGAAATATTGTTTTTTACTTGAACTGAATAGGCTTGTGAAAGAAATATATTATCAAAGACGTTATATCTTAAGAAGATGATTATTGAAATTCTCTCACAAGAAGAATCGATTTTAATGGTAAGAGGGAGTCCTCCTCTGTCTATAAGATTCAAATTCGAACAATTACGTTTGTAAGATACGTGCGTGTTATCAATAAATTAAGAAAAATTATAAACATATATTATATGGATATTGTCTATGTTCTCTTATAGTGGGAGCACATAAAACTCGGTGTGTATGTGAAAGCGTTGCATTTTTCGGAGAGTATTCTACATTCTCTGTCATCTAATCCTCCCTTAATAATATTTCAAAAAATAGATCGGAGTCAAAATCATAAGTTGACATTGATTCTCTTCGTCATCTAATCCTCCCTTAATAGTATTTCAAATAATAGGTCGGAGTTAAAATCACAAATTATTATTGATGTGAAAAGAAAAATAAACAGAAGACAAAAAAAGGGCTAAATGAGATTTTTTTTTCTCTCTCAAAATTTAACATTTTAGAGGTTAATGTGGATGAACAAATTGAAGGACCCGATTGATAAATGTTACCAAGTTCAGGGACAAAAAAATGTTTTATCCTAAAAAATTATAATTGAATCCAGATTTCAGGCTGATGTGGCTGGCGCGTATATTATCGACCACGAAGGTTAGGTGGAGTTTTTAATGTAATATTTGCAACGAAAAAAGCAAGTGGATATATTTCTAATTACGTGGCGTACTGTAATTGGATAATCTTATTAAATTATTGAGCAATGGTGCTCGTCGTTCGTTTCATCAAGGATCGTCTTCCTCAAATTTCAGTGCGTTCTTTGTTGTCGTCTTCTTATGCGAACACACAATGCCTATGGCGGGGAATCTGTTAAGGCTCTCTCTATCAACTCAGCCAAAGCTCTGTTTCGGTAATGACGCGAAGCTCAAAGTAGACCGCTTTGACTTGCTGAAACGACGATGTCACCGGCGTTTCCATTTTCGACCTCAGTCAATTCCTGGATTGGTCTTGTACAATTCATTGGAGACTAGATTAAAGCCGGAGGAATCGTCTAAGCTTAAAGATTCTTCGGTTCTCCTTGATGTCAACGGGATGATGTGCGGCGGATGCGTGTCCCGAGTCAAATCAGTTATCTCCTCCGACGAGCGAGTCGAATCGGCAGTTGTAAATTTGTTGACCGAGACAGCGGCGATCAAGTTGAAGAAGGAGGTGATGGAGAGCGATACCGTGGAGAGTGTTGCGGAGAGTATAGCTCAGCGCGTCAGCGAGTGCGGGTTCACGGCTAAGAGGAGGGTTTCGGGGCTCGGAATCGGGGAGAATGTGAGGAAATGGAAGGAAATGTCGAAGAAGAAAGATGAATTGTTGGTGAAGAGTAGGAATCGAGTGGCTTTTGCTTGGACATTGGTGGCGCTATGTTGTGGAGCTCATGTTTCACATTTTTTGCATTCGCTAGGGATTCATATTGGCCATGGTAATTCAATACATTCAATTTCTTATTTATTTGAAATGTGATAATGATGCCTTTAATTTAATTATGTATTCAGGATCCTTTTTGGAGATCCTCCATAATTCTTATATTAAAGGTGGATTGGCTTTGACGGCTTTGTTGGGGCCTGGAAGAGGTTTGTTGTTTTTATCCCTTATTACTTTCACATGCATTAACATTTATTTAGCTGGTATTTGAGAAATTTCTTTGTTTGGAAATATGGATTTGAAACCTTGGGTTTGTATTTTTGTTTGCTATATAAATTGTGAGAATGAACCGATTGACCATTGAGTAGCCTTAGTGATAGAAGGGAGTGTTGTTTTTCCTAAAGGTCCTGAGTTTGAGAGCCACTAAATGGGCATGCACAATTTCATGAATTTCAAAAACAACCGATATTTAAGGAATATGTTCTTTGGTCTTAAGGCAGTTACTTGCAAAACTCTTTCCAAAGTGTCTTAATGCTGCTGTCACTAGTGACTAGTGAGTAAAGGTTGGCTTAAATCAAAGTTGTCCAAAATGTTTTGCAGACTTGCTAGTTGATGGATTAATGGCGTTCAAGAAAGGATCACCCAATATGAATTCTCTTGTGGGATTTGGATCAATTGCTGCATTTATCATTAGTGCAGTGAGATTTTTCTTTCTTCTCTTTTCTTTGGTTTTCTCAAAATAGAATCATGTACATGATCTGTTAAGTTCCGTTGGTGCTTATATTTTCCTTTTCTTGTAGGTTTCACTTCTTGACCCTGGACTTGAATGGGATGCTTCATTCTTTGATGAACCGGTGATTTCCCCTACTTTTACTCCTTTCCGGGATTTATTTTTTATATCATGGTTCTCCTATAGCTACCAAAAATCATAATAAGTGATATAGGCCAAGTCGAAATTAGCTAACAACCTGAGATAATAAGTAATAGAGAATAGAAGACACAAGGACAAGAAGATGAGAGAGACAAAGGACAGAAAAAGATTTAGAAATTTTCAATATCTTTTTCTTGCCTTTATAATTATTCCAGAGTGTCATAATATAGGTAGCCTAGATCATTATTTACAATATTTCCATTACTATGTTTTTTCCCATAACACTAAGTTTTCTTTTTCTTCATTATTTCTTTTATGCTGAAGCCATTTAGATTGGAAGTCTGATAGTTTTGGTTTAGTTGATTATAGCCTCTCATGAAGCATTCCTGTATCTTGGCATGCAGGTCATGCTTCTTGGTTTTGTGCTCCTGGGACGTTCTTTGGAAGAAAGAGCAAGGATTAGGGCATCCAGCGACATGAATGAACTTTTAGTGAGTCTTAAATTATGAACTTTTAGTGAGTCTTAAATTACTTTCTTGTGGTGTTATTATACTTATTGTCATGCTTGGTGATCAATGATTCCTGGCTTACAGGCTATGGATCCTTAAAACTAAGATTTAGTTATATAACATGCCTTTACAATACCACTCGTCTTAATGTCATTTGATTGATTTCACACGAGATCATTGTTTTTGCAGTCATTGATATCGACTCAGTCAAGACTCATGATTACTTCGTCAGACACTGATTCCTCTGTTGATTCTGTACTTTGCTCTGATGCTATTTGCATCGAGGTCCCCTCAGATGATATTCGAGTTGGAGACTCTGTGTTAGTTTTGCCAGGAGAAACAATTCCTGTAGATGTAAGTCGTTAATATGTCGAGTTAAAATTTAGTACATCATAGTCTAACTCATAAACTTGGTCCATACACAGACATTCCCTTTGTATTTTCAGTTAAAGCTAACAACATATTGATAATGATATGAAACTAAGATGAACCTTCTGTAATCTCTGTATAATTAAATTTACCACATGCATATGTGTACGTATGCTGAAATTAGAATTCCCTACGCAGGGAAAAGTTTTTGCAGGAAGAAGTGTGGTTGATGAATCCATGCTGACCGGAGAATCACTTCCAGTATTCAAGGAAAAAGACCTTACGGTCTCAGCTGGAACAATAAATTGGGTAAGATATTTTGAGGAATATATTTAGCAATGCTATGAATTATGCCGCTAGGCACTAGCATTTACTTAAGGGTAAGAAGTATTTGACAATTTCTTATTTCAGAGATATAGGAATAAACTTTTGTAGTAAAATACATGTTAGCTGGATTGCTTGGGATGACTAGACGTGAATGAGTTTTTTTTTCCAGAAAGATTAAATGTTGGTATTAGTCGGATATTTTATAAATTATATCTTTAGAATATTAGATTGAACCCATTACCCATGCAATCATCATTTGTTTTTATGAATGTCCTATTTCAGGATGGCCCTTTAAGAATAGAAGCAACTTCAACAGGCTCCAACTCAACTATTTCTAAGATCATACGCATGGTTAGTACCCTAATGAACCTTTTTTATCAGATTAGTTACTAGTCAATAGTCATACAGTCATGTCCTGAAATCTGATGCTTGATATGAGTCACTGTGTCTGCTGCACAGGATATAATTGTCCCATTCTTTTTTAATTTCTAATATCAAATAACAAAATGTTGCTTCCTTTTATCCTGACTAAAAAAGGTGCAACAATTTTTTAGGTTGAGGATGCTCAAGGACAAGAAGCACCTGTACAAAGGCTCGCAGATGCTATAGCTGGGCCATTTGTATACAGCATAATGACTCTGTCCGCAGCAACCTTTGCTTTTTGGTATGGGGTCTTTTCTTCTAATGTAACTTCAGATAGAGTGATAATAATGAGATGCTTAAAATAGATGGTCAAGATGGGATTCTAATATATTTATTATTACAATAGATTTCTGTTGCTCGTAGATACTTCCAGAAAAACTAAAATGGGTAATTGGCATTCAATCTGAAATTCAAATAGTTGAAATCCTATCTATGGACAAAGTGTGACAGTTTTATCTTCACTCTATTTCTTGTTGCTCACTCCTGATCATTCCCCCCAAGATCCAGCATACTTTTACTTCTGCATACACTTGTGACAACTGGGTCATTAATTTAAGTAAATGCTGGACAAGTATGCGTTTTTCCCAAAACCTTGTTTTATTCTAGATGTATATTTTTCTGCATTAACTTTCTGATTTCTTGAGTTACCCTTTATCCATGCTTTTTTTCTTTTAACTCAAACCAGATAATGCTGGTCCTGTGGGCTTTTGTTTTGGTTGCTTATATATGTGTTATTTTCTCTTAGCATCCCGCTTATTGTGTACCAGCTAATCTTGTCTCTCTCTCCATGTTGCTTTCTGCGTCCAGGTATTATGCTGGGTCGCACATATTTCCAGATGTTTTGCTCAATGATATTGCTGGCCCTTATGGAGATCCCTTGCTTTTGAGTTTGAAACTTGCGGTAGATGTCTTAGTGAGTTTTCTTATGTTTACCTTTATTTCTTCACCAGCTTATTGCCTAAATATTAGTTGCCTGATTGTTTGCATTTTTTATCCATTTGATTGCCAATAAAGTTAATTTGTTATGACAGTAATCTCAATACAGTGAGAATTACCAGGTATCATTTCAAGATGGTTGCTTGAATAGATGTAAAAAATTCATCAGAGAATTGTCACAGAGAGTGATTTGAGCAAAACAAATTTTATTTGCGCCAACAGTTTGTAATGCCTATTTTTGCTTTCCAGGTTGTTTCCTGCCCTTGTGCTCTGGGTCTCGCCACACCAACAGCAATCCTAGTTGGCACCTCTCTTGGTAATTATCTAGCATGTAAATAAATCTTGATTTTGATGCATTTTCTGTTGAATTTGAAGAATAACATACCGGTTATATAAATCTATTCCTTCTTTGCATTTTACATACAACAACTAACTCTGTTATATGTTGCTGCAATGAAATACGCCAGGAGCAAGACAAGGACTGCTTATAAGAGGTGCAGATGTTCTGGAGCGCTTGGCCAATGTAGACCATGTAGCTTTTGACAAAGTACTTTTACCATCGAAAATAATTGCTCCCTCCCTCTCTTTCTCCATATATATATGTATAGGGATGGACCGAAGGGGGGCGGTCGCCCCCTAAAATTTTCAAATTTATATATATTTTAGATATTTTCTTTGTATTTTCTATTGAAAATTTCATCTCCTAAGATAAAATATTGCTTCCGTCCCTATATATATAATGTGCTACGTTGAAGTTCACTCTAAAATTACTCTGCTTTTCAATGTGCAGACAGGGACTCTCACTGAAGGAAAACCCACCGTCTCCTCAGTGGCTTCCTTTACTTATGATGAATCAGAAATTCTTCAAGCTGCTGCAGCAGTAGAGAGAACAGCAACACATCCAATTGCTAAGGCTATTGTAAATAAGGCAGAATTGTTGACTTTGACACTCCCAGAAACAAGAGGACAACTAGTTGAACCAGGTTTTGGAACCTTAGCTGAAGTAAATGGACGTTTGGTTGCAGTTGGCAAATTACAATGGGTTAGCGAACGTTTCAAGATAAAAGCAAGTCCATCTGATTTGATGAATTTAGAGCATGCTGTAACGCATCGGTCATCTTCAGCATCAAACTATTCAAAAACAGTTGTCTATGTTGGACGCGAAGGAGAAGGGGTTATCGGTGCTATAGGAATATCTGATTGTTTGAGGTTTGATGCTGAATCTACTGTGAGTAGGTAATATTTCATTTTCTTAGTCATGTGGACGAGTTCTTCCATTTGCCTGGCTTGGTTTGCATTTCAAGTCTTGATTAGTAGCCAATTCCCAACTGATATTCTTCATTGATGATTGGAGATGAAGCTCTATTCTTTATGTTTCCATCTAGAATAGCAACTTAAATGTTTCATTTCCTTGTGCTATTCTTACTTTTTAACCTAAATTATTATTTTTGGTTGTTTTGTTGCATTGTTTATGCAAGGCTTCAGCAGAAGGGTATCAAAACAATCCTTATTTCAGGAGACAGGGAAGAGGCGGTTGCAACTATTGCGAAGACAGTTGGAATAGAACGTGAATTTGTTAATGCATCTGTGACACCTCAGCAGAAATCAAGGGTTATATCTACTCTTCAGACTGCAGGACATCACATTGCAATGGTAACTCTCTCTCCCAGAACAACCATACCTCTTGAATTCGATTAACAATATAAAACATACTTAAAATTCACCTGGTCTCCTGAGACGAAGAAAAGCAGTTATTTGCACCAAATTATGGTGGATGCAACTAAATAACCATACTAGTTTTCTTTTACCCCTTCAATTCGATTCACAAATTATGGTGGATACCTCGAAGTACTTGGAAGAAAGGTTTAGGATACCTTAACTATTCGATTAACATTTTGTGGCTTGATTAGAAAATATATTCAGCTTATATTTTTTTTTCCTCAAAGGTAGGAGATGGCATTAACGATGCACCATCATTGGCCCTTGCGGATGTGGGGATTGCTCTACAGACTGAAGCACAAGAAACTGCAGCCTCTGATGCAGCATCTATTATACTTCTCGGAAACAGACTCTCCCAGGTATGCTCTCCTTAATATCGTAATTCTAGTTTACATGTGACACGGTAGACAAACTTGTCGATGCTATAAGCTTTTTAGCCAAGTCAATTGTGCTTTTTCAAAACATTTTCGTAGAAGAGTGATGTTTTGTTCACTCAGAAGAAACACCAGTCAGATTCCTAGCATCTCACTTAGGCCTTGCTTTAGCAGGTAGTAGATGCGCTAGATCTGGCACAAGCAACAGCTCTCCTTAATATCGTAATTCTAGTTTACATGTGACACGGTAGACAAACTTGTCGATGCTATAAGCTTTTTAGCCAAGTCAATTGTGCTTTTTCATAACATTTTCATAGAAGAGTGATGTTTTGTTCACTCAGAAGAAACACCAGTCAGATTCCTAGCATCTCACTTAGGCCTTGCTTTAGCAGGTAGTAGATGCGCTAGATCTGGCACAAGCAACAATGTCGAAAGTGTACCAAAATTTATCATGGGCCATAGCATATAATATCGTCGCCATCCCCATTGCGGCCGGTGTTTTACTCCCCCAATTCGATATTGCCATGACACCCTCGTTTTCCGGTATGTAAACAGAAAATTGTGAAGGAAAATTTTAGTTTTATGTGCCATTTCCATCGGCTATAGCTGAACTGCTTCAATTTTACATATCGGTTCAAATAGGTGGTTTAATGGCCCTGAGCTCTATATTTGTTGTAACCAATTCCTTGTTGTTACGGCTCCACGGGTCCGAGAAGAGCCGGAAGAGTAATCCTGCAAAAATTTCGCAAATGCCTGCCGGTCCAAGTTAACAAAGTACATTCCGTTGAATGAATATCCTGAGCTGGTATATCTTTAACCCGTAATGATCAAATGAAACAATTACTATTTCTTTTTCGTTATTTTGTGAATGCAGATAAGCTGTGCAGCTCACTGAAGCTCTCTGATGCATTGCTTCTGGCAGTGCTTTTTGACCGATGAACTTGTAAGTAGTTTATTTAGTAGAAAATTAAGGTAATCTCGTTATCTATTGATCATCTCGATCATTGACCGTATTCTTCATTAATATGTATTATAATAATAATCCTTTTCTTCTTCCGGGATAATTTTTGGGTAAACTATGCATTTAGTACAACTATTAATTTTGATCCGTTTTAGTACCTAAACTTTCAATCTTTTCAAAACCATACCTAACGCTTAGTTTTTGTTTCATTTTAGTATCCCACCGTTAAAAACTTAACGCGTTTAGTACTTAAACTATCAATTTTGGTCCGTTTTAGTATCTAAACTTTCAATTTTTTTCAAAATTTAATGTTAAATTTGAATATGGATACTAAAATGAAACAAAAACTATACTTTAATTATGATTTTGAAAAAAATGAAAGTTAAGTACTAAAGCGGATCAAAACTGATAGAGTAGATACTAAACACATAATTTACCCTAAATTTTTTATCCATCCGAATCTGACCTGAATATTCTACCATTCAACTTGTCGCCTGACTTAACTAGGATATAGGGAGGTTACACTTGATCCAATTTTGGGTATTGTTAGGGATTATTCAATCTTGACCTCACTTTATCCTTAAAAGAAAATTTAACCCGACCCGATCATAAATAACCTGAATTCAAGAAAAATCTTGAACCCTGTTCCTAATACAAACTGCAACAATCTGTCTCTTTAACTTGTGACACTTTTCGATTCCAAAATTCAACCAAATCCAAAATAAAACAAGGCAAATGACCAAGGGTTTTTTTTTTCATTCATGTCTCAGCTTTATAGCTAAGCAAAGAGACCTTATTAAATTAAAGAAAATCACAATTTTCACATTTCATGTATCATTCATTGCTGCTACACATCTTCGGTATTCCATCATCCTTAAGTTTCAGTATGCTTGTTCCCCTGCAGTCTTTTTTTTTTTATATAAAAAAACATATGTTAGCTAATATAAATAATTAGACTTGTGTTCGGCTTTATAAAAATTAGTTTATTTTTATTTTAAAATGAACTTTGATTCGCATGTTTCTACGTAGAAATGAAAATAGTAAAAAAAATTGTTTATTTCATTTTTGGTATAACTATCGGTATCTGATCTATTGATCTACTAATTCGGATCGGGTACTACAGAGGCAATGACAACCCTCCCAACCCAGTTTGTTTTATTCGTAATCTCTAGGATTCAGATCTATAACCTTACTTAAGGGATTTAGACTCTTTCCATTAGACCAATAGATTGTTTGTAAAAGAAAAATTATTGAAAAACCCACCTCCAAACCTCTTTCTCTGGCTTGCTGCTCCACCATTGCTAATTGACTCTGTCAAAACAAATTAAAGAATTAGGGAAGCTTGTTCAAAACGTTCTAATTGAGTTGGAATTTACTTAATTTATAATACCAACTCAGTTAAAGATTTAATATATAATATAGAAAAAAGTTTAGCTAGAGTAACATGGTTGCAATTAGTGATGGCCAAAATATCCATATTGGATGATCCCAACCTAACTCTATAGAGTGTATATATTAGAAAAAATAAGTTCCAACGGATTTTATGGATCCGATTTAACTGAAATAATTATCACAATATTATTTTATATATATTTAAATATAATTATTATAAATTTCTTATATATACATGGGTAAGATTGTCGATCTACTTACACTCGGTGTAAAACTAAGAATTTTACATCTTTTTAAGATTGTTAGAAGAGGAAAAATAAAATGTTAAGATTAACTCGTTTTCTCCAACGAATATCAATGATCTTAAAAATATGTAAGAGAGAGTTTTACAATGGGTGTAATAGTATCCTATCCCCAAGGGCAGAGCTATGTTGGGGTCCAAAAGGGTCTCGATCCCTGTAAGAAAATTATATATATATATATATATATGATAGATTTTAATCTAATATTATTTTGGTTCATGTAAAAATAAGTATTTAAATTTTAAAAATATAAAAATTTATTAAATATTTAATTAAGTAGGAGCCGAACTAAAGAATAATAATTTAATGTTCTCAATTTTTTTGGTTCAATAGCAATTTAGATCGTTGTAAGTTTAAAGATTAGACAAATTAAGCATTGTCTTCTGAATTTCAAATTTAATTACTTAATAATTCTTTATATTTTCTTAAAAACTTCAATATTTTGATTCCTGTCAATAATTAATCCTGACATCGTCCCTATTTGTCCTTATATATACTAACGCATACACACACTAACCCATATGTATTTTGTCAAAAACAAATGAAAATATATATTCATATTCCTACTTGCCACAATCAAAAAAATGTTTTCTATTTTTTCTTTTGGTATAATCATAGGTATTCGATCTATTGATTGACTAATCCGAATCAGGTACTACAAAAGTAAAGGTAATTCTCCCAACCCAGTTTACTCCATTCACAATGGTCAGGATTTGAACCCCTAACTTTATTTAACGGATCTAATACATCGTTCTACTAGACAAATTAGTTGTTGATAAAAAAAGTGTTTTCTACTATTAAAAAAATGTTTTCTAAAAATAAATTAAGTTTTTCATCAACTAAAATAATATCATATTAACTCGTAACACCAACCGAATCAAAATTTTATTACTATATAATATAAATATATAAAAAGGATAAAAAAAATTAATAGGTCTTCAAATATATTGAAAAGAAAGATGTTACCTTCTTGTTTCGGATTCCATTGAGAGATGAAATGAGGTGTTCCTCCATAGCCTTTATTTGTGCCATGTCCTCCACTTTGCTTGGGTCTTTCCAGTCCCTATCAATCCAACATCACTAAATTTATTACTAAAATTCTTTCTGTATTATGTGCATAACACATGATATGAATAAAATTTTAATTATGAATATTATGCTTTGGCTTGTGTATAAATCTCAACATGTGAGATTTTCAAAGTAAAATCTCTATAGGTGACATTCTCTTAATAAAATAAAATCTTAAGATTAGATCTTTTAAATCTTATGCATCGATTATTGTATAAATCCTGACACATAATGTTCTCTCAACAACGTAAAGTCTTAACACTATATTTTCCAAATCATAAGTATTGATTTGTATATAAATCTTGACACACGATTTTCTCTTAATAAAGTAAGGTCCTAAGACTAAATCTTCTAAATCTTATGCATCGATTCATGTATAAATCCTAAAACGTGACATTTGTATGCATGATTAAAGTGTTAATTATTAGTATTTCTTAAAGCTTGTGTGTTGTCTTATTTGTAAATTTTGACACGTGACATTTTCTTAACAAAGTAAAGTCTTAATTCTAGATTTTCTAAATCTTATGCATTGATCTATATATAAATCTCGACACGTGATATTCTTTTAATAAAGTAAAATCTTAATATTAGATTTTCTAAATTTTATGTATCGATTCATATATATATCCTGACACGTAACATCCTCTTGACAACATAAATATTAATACTATATATTCCAAATCATAAGCATTGATTTGTATATAAATCTTGACACGTGATATTCTCTTAATAAAGTAAGGTTTTAAGACTAGATTTTCTGAATCTTATGCATCGATTCATGTAAAAATCCTGACACGTGAAATTCTCTTAACAAAGTAAAATTTTAATATCATGCTTTCAAATCATAAGCATTGATTTGTATATAAATCTTGACACGTGACATTCTCTTAATAAAGTAAGGTCTTAAGAATAGATTTTCCAGATCTTGTATATGGATTCATGTATAAATCTGACACGTTATATTTGTATACTTGATCAAAATATTAATTATTAGTATTTCTTAAACCTTACGCGTTATCTTATTTGTAAATTTTGACACGTAACATTCTCTTAACAAAGTAAGGTATTAACACTAGATTTTCTAAATCTTATACATTAATATGTATATAAATCCCGACACTGTGATACTTGCATACATGACTAAAATATTCATTATTAGAATTTTTCAAACCTTAAACGTTGATTTATACATAAATCTTAACACGTGATATTTACATACACTATTGAAATCGATGTGTACATGGATAAAGGTATATGGATAGTAGGAAGGGTTTTCGTCTCTCTTAAAATTTTTGGTTCAATACCATTTTGAGTCTCGATCAATTTAAATGACCATCCAGCTCAGTTAATAGAGCACAAGGTTCTTAACCTTGAGGTCGTGGATCGAGTCCCACGGAGGGCATTTCATAATTCGGAGGTCTCTTACGGAAGCTGCTCTCAACCTAGTGTTGGGGGTAGCCTACTATCTTACCTCCCCCTTACCCCATATATATGGGAAAAAGGGACAGCCATTTTTTTTTTAAACTTCTGCCCCTTTAGTTTTTTAGACTAAACACTTAATAAATCCTTATTATTTTAAATTTAAACAATTTACTCCTTTTAGTATTTGATTCTAACTTCGTCTCTTTACGACAAACACAATCAAAATCTACAAGTATTTTCCATACCTTAGTATCTTGCTCTTCTCAGCCAATTTTCCCTTCAGCTCCCTCAGTTGATCTTCATGTACCTTCTGGGCGTTTTCACTAGCATTTTGTGAGGAGCTATTTTGTTGAAATTCCGACTCAGAATTTGCATAAATTTTCTTCAATATCTTCATTTAAAAATAAAATAGTTAATTTTAATTGGGAATTACTAAGAAATACAAAATTAAAATTTAAAAAAAACCCCAAATGAGGATTGGGAATAGGGACCTACCTGCATTGTATACTCCCTCCTGGTGATGGTAAAACAAATACACAATCAAAATCCATCAGTCCCTCGGCATATGGCTTTATTCACAGTTTGATCCCTGGATCATACCTGTTCTTTTATCATTTTGATACTTGGAATCTTGGATTATCATACAGGATGATAATTTAGGTATCAAAATAAGAACAAGTGAATAATTCAAGGATCAAACCTACAATTAACCAAGAAAAAATTGAAAAAGAAACCCCACACTGTTTTAACAAATATTATATACCTTTCTTCGCGCTCCTCGTATGGCGATTTCGACAATCTCTCAAGAACATCACTCAATCCCCTGTTTTTGATCATTCAAAAAGTGAAAGAAAAAAAATGAAAAATCGAGCTTCAACAAGGAAGATAAATCTGGGATTTCAATGGAGAAAAAGAATGAAAATTCCTTTTACTTTTCTCGGCCAACAAACAGGGTTGGTTTATCAGTAGGTGAAAACAGCAGCAGAGCAACATCCACATCGCACAAGATCGAGATCTCTTTCGCCTTCTTAACGATCCCGGTTTTACGCTTTGAATAAGTTGCTTGCCTTGCTTTGATGCTCTCCAGTCTCAGGATTTTCAGCTTTCTTCTTCCCATTTCTCCCCCGCTGATCTCTGTTCTTTCTGGGTGGAGAGATTGTGGTTTATATACGTAAATGAGAGTCGGAACCATTTATGGTACAATAATTAGAAGAATCTAAAGCTGATTTTAGACACTTAAATGTGCCATGATTTTTCACATTTATTGATGGGTGCTTTTTGTTTCATTTAAAGAACCCAGGTTTTGCCAAATTTGAATACACACACGCGGAATTCATCGGTTTCTTTGTCTGTTTCTGTCTGCTGTACTCCTGTATTTCCATATAGGGAGGAGATAGGTTGAAGATGACATAAACAAGGGGTGTCAACGGCTTTTTTTTTTTTTTTGGTCTCGAGTCGAGTCCGATTTCTTCGATCCTGTTTCGATAAATCGAATCGAGTTAGTCAAACGGCTAGAGTTGCACCGTGATACTTTAAAAATTTTAAATTATCATTATTTGTCTCAGAAATCAAACGGCTATCGAGTCATGTATTCTCACGTCGAGGAATCTTGTCCATAGGAAATCGTCTATGAGTGAATTATTTCTATGGTTATTCGTATTTTGGTTGTTTTTTTGCTTGGTTCAACCTCAATAAGTGGGGAGGGTCAATATCCCGATGAAAAGATGAAATCTAACGTGGTTCGGCCATACTTATCTCCACACACGAGGGAAAAATAAGTATATTATAAATATAGAGATAACAAAAAACATTTCTTATGCAAGGTATTCCCGTATCTAAAAAATCCAATGTATTTTACAAACCCGATGTATTACCGAAACTCATCTAATATCCCTACAAAATACATCTCTCAAGCAATCTTTCTAATAATTTTTTTTTATATTTATAGAGTCAAATGCTTGATCATCAAGAAACCTTAGTACATAAGAGTTCTTATCCAAGTAAACTTGATTACCAAGTAACGAGTTATACTTTACTTAACCGTTATACCAATTAGAACGAGCCGAAATATAATACAAAACAATTTCAAATGGAAACCTGGAAAGATTATAATATCATAATCAAAAGCTATAAAATAATCCTTACATTTATCGAACTATTATAAAATTAACATTAAATTTTATCAAACCATTATAAAATAAACTTTTACTCTTATTATAACATTGCTCGATAAATTTAATAACTATTTTATAACCGTTCAATAAATTTAATAATTATTTTATAAATAATTCAACAAAACGATCATTCAATCATAGTTAACTAACCATTCAATCATAGTTAACTAACCACTGATGTACTTTACTCAAACAATAAGTTGTATTAACATATAACACCGTCCTAAAAAGATAATTAAAATGACAGGTATAACTATTGTTTTTTTATTTAAATAATAATTAAATATTTATTAGTTTTAAAATTAAACAAAATAAATCCTAATCCCCTTTTAAAATTTTATAGTAATAATTTAATAATTAAATATTGAACTCATTTATTACTATTTATATTTATATCCTCAAATTTTATTGTAATCTCATCATTTTATCCATTGTACGACTAACTTGATAATTTATTATATTTATTTCATCTTCTAATGATTATCTTATCGTTATTCTTAGAGGTTACGGTTCGAGCACCAACGACTGTAGTAGGGCGATTGAGCGGTCATTGTCAAATGGTTGAGAGTATTTAGACCAGATACTACTTTGTAATCACATTAGCTTAATAAAAAAAACAATTATCTTATGTTGAAAATATTTTGATATTTCAATATAACAAATTAAGTTAAATGAATTTTAAGATTGTGCAATAAAGGTTTTCTAAGTATATTCGATATAATTATTCGAATATCAAAACATTACTCTAAATCTTTCAAAAATCATTTTTAATCCTTACTCAAGTGTAAAATTAAGTTTTAATCTTAAAACAATTTCAAAATAATTTTACAAAGTATTTCGAACCATTTCAAAGCCAAAAATTCCAGATTGCTCAGAGGGAACCGATTCCCCCCCAAGGGGTACCGATTCCCCCTTAATGGTTTGGCTCCGAGAATTCCAGTATGCTCGGAGGGAACCGATTTCCCCCCCAGGGGGTACCGATTCCCCTCATGTGTAACGATCGAAATATTTGAATTTTACACTCAGGGAACCGATTCCCCTAACGCTCCAAGTTGTTTTATTAATTGTTTTCACACTAAAACGGCTATATTATCTTCTCTAATAATCCTCAACGTTCAGAAGTGATTCAAGGTGTATTTAAGCAAGCTTATAAGCCATTGATCAAAAATAAGAAATATCAAGCAACTAGAATCAAGAGAGAATCAAAGAGAAAGCATCAAACCTCAAGTTTGAGCATTTTAAGCCTATTTTTCATTCAATATTCATCTTGCTTTCAAGAACACTTATTGTACTCAATTGTATTCATTTTTGAGTGTTCTTTTCTTTGTTCTAGAATTGTGCAAAGAATCTACCTTGTGAGGATTTCCTTGTAAGTTAGCAAATTTGTATTGTTCTCTTTGGGAGAGAGTGTTCTCAAGAATTTGGGGTATAATTCTTGAGGGTTTGTAAGGTTACTCTTTGTCCTCAAAAGAAAGACAAATTAGTGAATTTGTGGAAAATCCTTAGTGTGAATAGCTAAGGTAGTGGACGTAGACTTTGGTTGAGAAAGTCGAACCACTCTAAATCATTGTGTAATTTCTTTCAATTTTCTGCAAAAGCTTCCACCAAAATTTTTATTGCCAATTCACCCCCCTCTTGGCAAATTCCGTCAATCGATTAACTCAACAATTGGCATCAGAGCCTAACTCATTTGAAGGTTTAATCACCTCTTGAGTCGATTCGGGAAGAGTTATATCGATAATCAAAGTCATCAATGTCCTCTACTTCAAACTTTAACTCCTGTCTCGATTCGATGCCTGTCAACAAGCCTCCTTTCTTCAATGGGGCTAATTATGCCTATTGGAAAAATAGGATGTTGTACTTCATTCAAACAAGTGACATGGGAGCATGGAATGTCGTAGAAGAAGAATACTTCAAGCCTCTCACTCATCCAAGATTATGGAGTGAAGGAGAGACAAAAATGTTCCAGCTCAACTCCAAAGCTATCCATATCATATTTTGTGCTCTTGGACTAGATGAATACGGAAGAGTTTCATCTTGTACAACCGCCAAAGAAATATGGGACAAATTTCAAGTCACTCATGAAGGTACCGATGAGGTAAAGAAATCTAAAATTAGCATTCTAACGCATAGCTATGAAAATTTCAAGATGAAACCAAATGAAGATATCAAATCTATGACGGATAGATTCTCAACGATTGTCAATGGTCTCAAATCATATGAAGAGATCATTTCAAATGAAAAGCTTGTGAGGAAGTTAGTCTACTCCCTCCCAAAATCGTGGCAATCAAAGAAGACGGCAATCATCGAGTCTAAGGATCTAACATCCTTAACTCTTGAAGAGATAATCGGTTCACTCCTCACTCATGAAATGATGCTTGAAGATGAGGTGGACCTTGATAAGATTGAAGATACACCAAAGGAGAAGGAGAAGAAGAAAAATATTGGAGTTGCTCTCAAATCCATAAAAAATTAGAGTGATTCGGATGAAGATGACGAGGAAATGACATTGTTTGCCAAAAGGTTCAGAAAAATGATGAGACCTTACCGAGGAAGAAAATTCAAACAAAATGAAGGCCTAAAAAATGAACCAAAAGAGAAGGACCCGATCATTTGCTATGAATGCAAAAAGCCGGGGCATGTCAAATATGATTGCCCATAATTGAAGAGAAATGGTCAATCAAAGAATAAGCACAAGGCTCATGTGGCTACATGGAGCGATGAAGAAGGTTCCGATGAAGAGGAACAAGAAGTAGCAAACTTGTGCTTAATGTCATTCGGGGAAGATTCTAAGGTAACCTCTAACTCATCTGATTTTGATGATTTATCCTATGATGAACTATTAGAGGAATATAATGGGTTGGCTTCGGATTATGAGAAATTGTTTTTAAAATATAAAATTGATGTTTCAAAATTGAAAAATGAAAATAAACTCATATCCAAAACCAACAACGATCTTGAAAGTAAAATCAAAGATTTGCAAATCAAACTAGAAGAGTTTGAAAAGAAAAATTTAGATTTGCAAAATTTACTTTCAAAAGTCAATGATGATCATCAAAAGAAAATTGATGATCTTAAAGCTTCTTTTGATAAAGTTGGAACAAAACGTTTTGAAAGTGGAGAAAATTCAAAATCCAACTTTGTTAGAAAAAGTTTTAAAAACTACAATCATAGAGGTCCCCAAAGAACCTCTAATAGAAAAATCGTTAGAAGTATATGGGTTCCTAAGGAGCTCATTACTACTAAAGATAAGAATATCCTACACAAATGGATACCTAAGGGGACTAGGATTTTGGAAACTAATGAATATGGACCCAAAAGAATTTGGGTACCAAAAATTAGAAATTAATCTATGTTTGTAGGAAAAGGATCATTGTTACAAGGCACGAGAAACAAATCCAAATTCATGGTACCTTGATAGTGGATGCTCAAGACACATGACCGGAGACAAAAACCGGTTCATTGAGCTTAATGCCAAAAATGGAGGAGAAGTGACTTTTGGTGATGATTCAAAAGGTTACATTGAATGTATTGGTACTATTGGTAATACCTCTTCCATACAAATTAAGAATATTTTATATGTGAATGGATTAAAGCATAATCTATTGAGTATTAGTCAATTTTGTGATAAGGGATTCAATGTCATGTTTGATATTAATGGTTGTAAAGTCATTGACATTGCATCTAATCGGATTATGCTTGTTGGTCATAGAATATGAAATATATACATGGTGCATTTAGATTCTATTCATATGACTAATTTGTGCCTAGTTGCTAAGGATGAACATGATAGTTGGTTATGGCATAGGAGACTAGGACATGCTAGTATGAGTGTTTTGCAACGGCTAATTCAAGGTGATTTAGTTCGAGGGTTGCCTAAGCTTAAATTTGATAATGATAAAATCTGTGATGCTTGTGCTAAAGGAAAACAAAAGCGAGTTTC